TACTGCATTTATGAACAGCATTTTATATCTTATGGTTTTAACTCCCAAAAACTTTAAATACTACCAATGAAAGCCAGCACCCATATGTTGTACTTAATTTTTATATCACTTTATTTATATTATATTCATTTTGTTGTAAATTTTATTCAAATGTAGTGTCCACTTAAAAGTACAGAGATAATAAATTTACTAATCAATGAATTTGCACAAAATGAACTCATGCAACCAAGATCAAGTTCAAGAAACAACATTGCCAGCACCTCAGAATCCTCTCAACTAACTTGCAGTGATAAATACCTTCCCAAGGATACCCACCAGGATGATTTATAACACTATAAAATAATTTTGACTGTTCTGAAATATATATATGAATGCTATCATATAATAGCACTCTTTTTGCTTGACTTCTTTTACGTAACATAATGTTTCTAAACACATCCATGTTGTTGCATATTCACAGTTTATTCATTCTTATTGCTGCATGATTTTCCATTTCACAAGCATGGCACAATTAATCTAACCAGCCATATATGAGCATTTGGTTTATTTTCAGTTTTTCAATTTTGTTTTTGGGGGGTACTTGGCTTTGAACTCAGGAGCACTCAGCCACTGAGCCACATGCATAGCCCTATTTTGTATTCTATTGATAGGCAGGATCTTACTGAGTTGCTTAGTGCCTCACTTTTGCTGGCTTTGAACTCTAGATCCTCCTGTCTCAGCCTCCCGAGCCACTGGGATGGATCATAGGCATGAGCTACCAATCCCAGCCAGTTTTTCACTATTCAAAATAATACGATCATAAACATTTTTGTACCTGTCTTTTGGTGAATTCATGTGTACATTTCTCTTTTATTTATTCAGAAATGAAATTGCTGAGTCATAGGATATACATAGTATATACTGCCCGATACTTTCTGAGGTGGTTGTAGCAATTTAGACTTTCATCAAAAGTGTAAAAGTATCTGTATACGGGGTAAAGTTGGGAGTTCATAACCCGCTTGAATCAAACTGTGAAATATGATGTATTAAGAACTGTGTAATGTTTTGAACGACCAACAATAAAAAAAAAAAGTGTAAAAGTTACTCCTCATACTGAGAAATAATTGATTTGATCCTTTCCATTTTTGACACTTTGGAGAATATGTAATGGTATCACATTGTGTTTTTTAATCAACTTTGTAAATTTAAACGTCTTTTTAGTGTTTTATTATCATATCCACTACATCTGTACTTATGCAGCCTCTCAGCTTTCTAAACTAATATTTTAGTTTACATGTGAACTTATGGAACATATCAGCTTTCTAAACTAGTGTCTGTGGCTCCTTTTTTTCTTCTTCATATTCATTTTAGGCACCTTTTCCAAGAATCAGATTTTTCTTCTCTTGATCATATCTATATTTTT